CTCTCCCAGCCTGTCCTCCCAGCAGAGGGGCTCCAGCCCTCCCAGCATCTCCGGGGCCTCCTCTGGCCCCGCTCCAACAGCTCCGTCTCCTTCTGCTGGTGGGACCCCCCGAGCTGGAGGCAGCACTGCAGGGGGGTCTCCCCAGAGCAGAGCGCAGCAGAGGGGCACAATCCCCCCTCGCCCTGCTGGCCACGCTGCTGGGGATGCAGCCCGGGGTGCCGGGGGCTCGCTGGGCTGTGAGCGCACATTGCTGGGTTGTGTTGAGCTCCTCCCCATGCAAGCGGTGCTGGCAGAAATGGCATGGGGAGCTGACCCCAAGGCACGATGAACAAGTTGGTGCTCAAGCATTGTGTTGATGGAGGAATCAGGATGGTGCTGTGATTGAGCGTATCTGTGGAGAATAAACATACCCTTCTGTGCAGTGCCTGGGTAGGGCCGGTAACGAAGTCTGCGTGGTTCCAGCTGGGTGAGCTGGTCAGCCTCGTGCGTGCTTTGTAATGGAAGTAAAGACTGAGTGCTGGTCCTTGTTTTGCCTGTGGAGGTCCACCAGGACGAGCTGAACTCACCATGGCCTGAACGCTGTGTGACCACCTTGTGCCCATGGCAGGAGAGGCTTTGCCAGTGCCCACGTGGTGCTCCTGCCTCACCATCTGGTGCCAACTCATAAATGGGAACTTGCAGGAAGGGTTGGGCTGGAAGCTGGTGGGCCACCCACAGAGGCAATCCAATTTGATACCACGGAGTAAAATACTGCTTGTTCTTTGCTAACGTACTACTCCTACATTCATTTTTCTGGAATCTGAACAATGAAATGATGAGATTTCTCCCATGAGTAGACCGTGCAGGGTGTTTTTAGGCTTGTTCCAAATGATGAAAAGGGTGTTTCACCTTTTGCCGTGATGGCTTTCCGTCAAACATGGACATGCGTCTGCTCTTCTAACGCTAGCAGAAACTGTGTTATTTCAGATGTGTGTGTTTCAATGTGTGACTAAAATTCAAAATTGTCATTGAATATGTAAGGTATATTTTTATGCGTCCCATATAAATATCAAATTTCAGAATATCAAGATACATGTAAATGTATTTTATTTGCGTGCATATTGTATATGCATAGATTATATATTTATGAATATAAAGTATGTACATATAAAACTATATTATAAATAGATACTGTTTAAATATATATGTGTGCGCATGCATTTTATATATATAGTAAGTAGACATAGAAGATGTTATGAAATGGCTGATGTTTGTTCTTGTCTCCTTTGCAGGAAAGATTCCAAGTGAAGAATCCTCCACATACATACATCCAGAAGTTGAAGGGCTATCTGGACCCGGCTGTAACCAGGAAGGTGAGGAGCGTCCTGTTTCCTCTCGCCCATCCCTCGGTCCTCCGCGAGGATGGTCCCGGGTCCGGGTTCCTTCCTGCCTTTGTGTGAAAGGCCCCGTAAAAGTCTCCGAGAAGAGTCTCGGAGATGGAACAAACTGCAGAGAGAAGCAAAGGGAAATTGGAAAGATGCTGCGGTTTTCGCAGCTCGGAAAGGAGAACAGATGTTGCAAAGAAAAGGACCATCTGACACATGAAACAAATTGTTTTAATAGCTTTAGCTTCAATAAGTAGTCTGACAAATTATCACTCGGCTGTGCTCTAGGTCTGACTTTCCATGCGGGCAGCGCTGGTGGTGAATAAAACCTCTGTTGGATGGTGCTTGTCTCACCCGTGGGAAGGGGGTGCTGAAGTTTTGAGTCCTTTTCTCTGGGTGTTTGTGTGACACCCAGGAGTTCAGTCTGGCTGGCACAGTCCCCCTCTCGCTCATCGTCGCGTCCGGGGTTTCAGGGTTGTGAAGTAAAGACGTAAGCTGGGGTGTGTTTACGCAGCAGTGCCTCATCCATCCTTCTGTGTATTATTTTGCCCGGAATACTTTGTTAATCACTCACTAAAGACCGAGGCACTTCACTTGGCCCTTCAGGTGAATGTCGTGCATCCCTGAATGTGCCTTCTGTACCGGGATGTGTTCGTGGTTGGTTCTGATGTTTCTGAACTCGTTTCATGGGCTTAGTAATAACCTCCAGGACTTTAGAATAACAATAAACCTACATCCCATTTGGAGGACCATTGCTGAACTTTTGGCATTTAACCGCTGTGGATATCAGCTCGTATCCTGTGTTGACAGTTATAATAGCCTTTAAAAAAAAAAAAAAAAAAAAAAGGCAAAAACCAAACAAGAAGAGGCAGCGAGAGCGTTGCAGATCCTGCCGTCGACTGGCTCTGCCTTGGCCTCAACAGTCGCAGCTTTGTGTTGCCATACAATGAGCTGAGGTCGGTGTCCTGCGGGAGAATCCGTGTCCTGACACCGGTGGCTGCAGCCGCGGCGGAGGTGCAGCCCCGTGTCCCTGCCAGGGGCGAGCGCTGAGTGCCCTCCGCTTCCAGCGCCCCGTGCCAGCTCCGGTCTGCAGGGCTGCCGGAATGTCTGCTGACAGCGCTGCTCTTGTTGGAGGCTCTGACAAGGAGTAGGAAACCATTTAGATGGAAACCTCTAAGTTTGCCTGTAGCCGATTATAGTGTTTTTTTAAAAAAAAAAGTGGTGAACGGGAGTCTTTGTGTTTTTCTCCTGAAGGGTTTTTGAAATTCGTTTAGTGTTTGGCTTTGCTCTGAGGTGACTCTGTGGGCACACATTGAAGCCTTTCTTATCCTAATACCGCTATAAAGAGTCCCGTGACAAATGACAAGACCGAAGGAGCCTAAAAATAACTCCCATTGAGTTCCTCTCTTTTGTTGCGTTATTCCGCGTCGCCAGCAGCCTTTCCTCAGCCTGGGCTGCCAGGCGGAAAGATTTACACGTGGGCTTCGGGACGGGCGCGTAAGATCATGGGGAGGGCTGGTGTAACCAGGCTGATGGCTGTCACTGGGGTGGTGGCAGCGCTTCTGCTGACTGTCCCCAGTGCCGCCAAGAGAAGGTGTTGCAAAATGTGTGTTTTGGCTTGTAATTGGGGTCATAGAATCGTAGAATCGCTGAGGTTGGAAGGGGCCTTTAAGATCAAGTCCAACCATCAACCTACCCTGACAAAACCGCCTCCAAACCATGTCCCTAAGCACCACATCTACCCTGTTTTTTAAACACCTCCAGGGATGGCGAATCCACCCCCTCCCCTCTTCCCAGGAAAACAATTGCTTTTTGTCTGAGCTGAATTTTGAAATAGGAAGATGAAAGTGTTGAAATTACACATTTTTTTTTAAAAAGAAATTGCAGCTTGGTGGCTCCCGGTAAAGTCCTGAGAGGGTTCCCTGCCCTCTGCCGGGGCCGCAGGGAGCAGCCTGGCCTCGCCGCAGGGTAACGGTCCCGCCTGGGAACGGGCTGCCTATTCTGCCGTGCCCTCCCACCCCTCTCTCCGGGCTGCCTCTCGCTGCATCCATATTTTACCTTTCTTTCTGGAGAGGTAAGGTCTTATATTGCTTGCGGTTATATTGCGTAAGCTCTCTTGGGAGAGAAAGCACTGTGGTTTTGTACTCTGAGCTAATTAACCGAGGTCCAGAGAAACAGTATGTCTGATCTCAACTAGCTATTTTAATAGTAAAAGTTAATAGTGCCTTGTGTCTACCAGGACTTTACGGGGAGACATCTATTTCAGTCTGCCGGTGAGTTTCTGAGCTGGGATTTCGTCTTACCTCAAGTAAGCCAGTGGTGCTAACCGGCGTGTGATAAAACCCCGGTGAAAAAGGCAGCTGATAATTTTCACGTAGGTCAGCCAGGCAAGGCAAATCCCCTCCTTTCATCATCTTCACCTCAATAAATGAACTCCTGAGAATTATTAACTGCCAAGTAGTCCCCTTCATTTTATTGTGGGTTTATTGCGGTGCTCTGAGAACAAACCTTTTTTCCCCCAGTATTCACAGCTTAGTCCTGCTTGCAGCAGCATCGCTTGCGTCCTAAATAAGCCCTTTTCAAACACCTCAGGTCTGTGTGTGTGATAACTGGTGACCAAGGTGGTGGTGAAGTACTGCAATTCCAAGATGGTTATCGTTGTCCATCCACTTCTGCTCTCATTTACCTTCTTCACAAATGAGAATTTACCAAAACAGCTGCTCCAGAATAATTTATCCAGCTGTTTTAGTGCATTCCCATGGGTAGGGAGCCCCAGGCAGGAGAGAAGACGAGAGTCTTTCTCCAGCTGGGAGAGGAGGAGGCATCGCTGGCTCGCTCCGTCCACGCACCGAAGGTCGCCTGCCGCAACCTGGTTCTGCAGAGGATGGAGAGGAGCAGCTTGGCTCGACTCGAGAGGAGTTGGGGTGCATTTAGAGGTCTTCTGCAGTGACCAGTGCCTGCTTTGAGCTGTGGAGTGAAGTGGGGCTCCCACTGCGTCCCGGTGCGGTTTGGCCAAGTCGCCCTTTCTCCTCCCATATGGAGGTGACCCAGAACCTCATCTCCTTTCTGCCGCGTTGCAGCCCGGGGTTTTACTTCTGGGGGTTTATGGCCTTTTCCCAGCGTCTGATTTTGCAGATAGAATTTAGCGTGCACAAATTGTTCAAGCGTGCAGATGGCAGCACATGTGTATTTCATTATTGGCTCGCACACGCAGATTTGGTAATTATCTAGAAATCGTGGCAGGTTTTTTGGTGTGGGTGTAAAGTCGCAAAAGTGAGATTAAAGCACCAGGCTGAGAATGGAGCCCAAATGCTGTAGCTCTCAATGGAGAGTTTGATACTTGAAACAAAGCTTGTATTGTAAAGAAATGTTTATTTATCTACAGGCTTTTAATTTTCTTAATCCTGGAAACTCAAAAATGTGCATGGGAACAGAAGTTATTTTTCTGAGTTTGTTTTTGTTGACTGCTGAACTATTGTTATTGCATTCCTCAGGATTTAGAGGAGTTCTCAATTTACCTTAATGTTTTATTTATTCATTCTGCACTGCGCAAGATGTTGATATTCTTAATAGCATCACATGGGTCTTAATTGTTATTTTTGCCTGCTCACTTGATTACAGAAATTCAGAAGACGAGTCCAAGAGTCTACTCAAGTACTCCGAGAACTGGAAATTTCTTTAAGAACAAATCACATTGGGTAAGAATTTTTGATGACTTCTGGTCTAAGACTTCTTTTTTTTAACATCTACTGATGGATGCCTTTGAGAAAATATCTCTTTGCATGTCAAGCAGTGATACCACTTGATTGATCGTTAAAGCCTGAAGGGCTCAGTTAAGCGATAGCTGGGCATCTCCGGAGGATAATTCAGCTTTAATCCTTTCATGATAGGGTTCATCCACATCTCTGGGAAGGCTGTGAAAAGATTGCAGTCAAATTCTGCTCACCCTGAGTCAGTCAGAGCAGGAGTGAGCATGGTTGTGTCTAGAATAGTAATAGTATTGCAGCTATAAATATATATATATAAAAACCCCCCATGCTGTTTTATAGCTTTAACATGATGCAGATCATGAAGCCTGGCTGTGACTAATATTCCCAGTATTTTACTTATACAAAACACAAAGTTCTTCTCAAATAGCAGAAGTAAAAGAATCACCAGAGACTTCGTTTTTTTATGGAACGTGCCGTTCCCATCTGCGTTTCCACCGGTCTCACCTCTCTGCTTTGGGTCTGGCCACCAGAACCCAGTTCAGCACTGGTACGTCAGCCAGGAAGGTTTCTTCAGCGTTTTGTTTCTTGACCACACTATATGTCCGCCTCAATTACATCAGTGCTGCTCTTTATTTTGAGGAAAGCAGGGTGTATTAAACAGTGGGAGGAATAGCCATTCTCCCTCTGTGGGATCGGGCTCCCCAGCGCGGTGTGCACGGACGGCGTGTGCAGCAGTGGGGAACCCTCCTGCAAGCTGCGCCGTCGCAAATATCTACGACAAACTTCTCCCACGGCCCCGTTCTGGCTCCCACTTCCTTTTCCCTCATTTTCCAACTCAAAGGATTCCCTAACAGAGACTTGGGGCATCCAAAGCGTGAGGCTCTGCAGGTTTATGATGGCTCATGGGTGCGCAGAAGGAACCGTGATGGTGCACCAGATAAATAAAGGAGGCTGACAAGGCCAGTGTTTGTTTATTTTGGTCACCTGGCTGAAAGATGCGTTTCAAAGTAAGTTTTATCAAAATGCCAGGTTGTTTATTTTAGCAGGTAAATAGCAAAGATTTAAAGCTTAAAGACCGGTAATGAATTCCCACTCTGCTGAGAGCAGGGGATGTATAGCTGCAGTGCCTCGGAGGCAGAGCGAGCCCGGGGTCCCGGTTCCCTCCCTGGCTCCCCACTCATTCCAGTGGCACCCAGCCCGCTCCTGGTGGGGTTTTGGCTGCCCCAGTTGGCATTTGCAGGGAAGCCAAGCTGGGGCTGTGCTGAGGCTCCTTGTTTGCCTGGGTTTGCCCCCAGGTGTATGGATTTTCCAGTTTTGCTTGGCATTTGTGAGGTTTTGAAAACTTTGGAAGATAACAGGCTTTTCTGAATTGAAGATTATTTTGCATAATTCTCAGGGACCAAAATTCACCTTTTTAAAAAGAGAAGGCAAATTACCGTTCAGTGCACGTCCGGGATGTCAGATCTCACCCTTGCTGCCGTTACTCTTTTGCTGGTGTGCAGTCCCTATGCTTTTGAGATGCTGCTAGAGATCAGGAGGTGGAACAAAATAACCCGTGTCCCCGCGACTCACGCACTGGAAGGCGGCTGTAAGCGCTGCTGGGGGGTTCGCGCGGCGGCGGGTGCGCGGGAGGAGACGTGCCTGGGTCTGGCGCACAGCCCAGGGCGCCCGTGCCCTCCTGCAGCAGCGCCGCGGGGCTGGGAAAGGCGCTCACCAGCGCCGGAGCTCCGAACTTAGATGAACAAACGTCAAGTTTCTGAGCAATGCAGAGCGTGCTTAGGGGTTTTTATTTTTATATTTTTTTAACGGAATATTTTTCCTATCATAGTGCTGCAAAAAAGCTTGTTACAGTACATTTTTAAAGTCCTCTAAAGAACTGTATTTTAAAGTCCTCTAAATAATAGTGTTTTTTAAAAGTCCTCTTTTCCTGAGCGAGAAAGCAAAGTTTTTCCCCACAGCGCTGCCTTTCCTGCAACGGGTCTGTCTCTAGTTTATCTGACAAGAATTCCAGTAACTGCACAGAGCCTGTGAAACACTCTGATGTCTGATGATTTTTCTAACAGATGGGTCAGGGAGTTCCTGAACGAAGAAAACAAAGGCCTGGATGTTCTGGTGGAGTACTTGTCGTTCGCACAGTATGCAGTCACGTAAGTAAGACCTGTCTGGCGCTCTCTGGGCTTGCAAGGCGGAGCAAGGATCCTGCCATCCCTCCGGAGCGAGAAGGAGATGCTGAGGCTGATGCTCGGCTCTCTCTGCAGCGGAGCTTTCCTGCCGGTAGCTGAGCACAGTACCTTATCTACTTACAGCAGAGAAAATGGTAACGTTAAGCCAAAACTGTTGGATGATAACCTGTTGCAGAGAAAAAAAAATGCCTAAATTTAAGCCTTGAGATTATTTATATCTAATACTGTACTGACATATTTTTTAGCTTTGGCCTCTGACCGTCTTAGGGGCACAGCGCAAAAACATTCAGCAAAGGCGTGGGAGCATGCAGCCTTCCTTACAGATAGTTTTGCAATTAGTGCCTGACCCCAAGGAATTGCAATAGTGTCCACCGTGTTCAAAGCAACATCCACACACGAACCACTTGTCACAAGGCTCCTGGTGAGCAAAGTCGTCGGCATCAGGCAGAGTGTGGCCAGCAGGTGGAGGGAGGTCATCCTCCCCCTCTGCTCTGCCCTGGGGAGGCCACATCTGGAGTACTGTGTCCAGTTCGGGGCTCCCCGGGTCAGGAAGGACAGGGAACTGCTGGAGAGGGTCCAGCAAAGGGCTACGGAGATGCTGAGGGGAGTGGAGCATCTCTCTGCTGAGGAAAGGCTGAGGGACGTGGGGCTGTTCAGTCTGGAGAAGAGAAGACTGAGGGG